CTGGGTGGCTCAGCCGGTTGGGCCGCTGCCTTCGGCTCAGGTCATGGTCCCGGGGTCCTGAGATCGAGTCCCGCATCGGGCTCCTTGTCCAGCAGGGAGCCTGCTTCTCTCTCTGCCTCCGCCTGCCACTCTGTCTGCCTGTGCTCTCTCTGACAATAAATAAATTAAAAAAAAAATTACTTAAAGACATTTAAGCAGTTTTTTTCTCCCATTTAATGTTATGTAAAAACTGTAGTTCTTTTTTAAAACTTTGATTTTAGTGTTATTCTTTTTTTTTCCCCTAAAGAAACTAGTTAAATTAGAAACACTGACTTTTTTTAAGGAAGTAATTGTCTTAGAAAACTGATCTTTAACAATACCAAAAAAAACCCCTGATAATAGTTTATTTTTATAACTTTTTGCAACAATAAAACTCTGTAGAACCCACAATAAAACTAAAGGAACTTTAATTAATTAATTAATTTTTTTTATTACATAATCTCTATACCCAACGTGAGTCTCAAACTCACCATCCCAAGATGAAGATTTGTTATACCCTTCTGACTAAACCAGACAGGCACCCTGACTAATAGCAGTTTTTAAAAGTTAGCAAATAAATACCAGAACAATCAAGTTATTTTTCTATTAGCCCATCTACATAGTACATACTGTACATTTTGAATACAGTCAAATTGTAAAATATGTAAATGAGGTGACTGAAGTTAATTTTTCTTACCCTTAATTTTTCTTTTCCTTCTTCCTTTTTTCCCCCTTTCTCTTAATTTTTCAATGAGCTCTGCTTTCCTCAGACTTCAGGAGTGACATTGGGAATACATCTTCCTGGTAGAGCAACAATGTGCTTTATTTTTTTTTTTTTAAGATTTTATTTATTTATTTGACAGACAGAGATCACAAGTAGGCAGAGAGGCAGGCAGAGAGAGAAAAGGAAGCAGGCTCCCCGCCGAGCAGAGAGCCTGACGTGGGGCTCGATCCCAGGACCCTGGGATCATGACCCAAGCTAAAGGCAGAGGCGTCAACCCACTGAGCCACTCAGGCACCCCAACAATGTGCTTTAATCCTCTGGTCACTTCGACAAGGCTATGGAGTTTTCCTGAGAGTCCTTTTTTCTACTCTGAACAGCCTTGGGAAACCCGCATTATATTTCACTATTAAAATCTTCACATTTTTAATATAAAGGAGAAAAAAGATGTTTAAATCTGATAATTGGGGGCGCCTGGGTGGCTCAGTGGGTTAAAGCCTCTGCCTTCAGCTCAAGTCATGATCCCAGGGTCCTGGGATTGAGCCCCGCATCGGGCTTTCTGCTCAGCCGGGAGCCTGCTTCCCTTCCTCTCTCTCTGCCTGCTTCTCTGCCTACTTGTGATCTCTGTCTGTCAAATAAATAAATAAAATCTTAAAAAAAAAAAACTGATAATTGTTTCTAGGGATCAGTAGTTCTGATCCCTGCATGGTCTACTTAAACAGTTAGAATGAGTCACTTGGTAAAAATTCTCTGTGTAATGAACAGTATCCATGGCTTAGTAAATGGATATTTGAATTTTTTTTTTTTTTTAGATTTTATTTATTTATTTGACAGACAGAGATCACAAGTAGGCAGAGAGGCAGGCAGAGAGAGAGGGGAGGAAGCAGGCTTCCTGCAGAGCATAGAGCCCGATGTGGGGCTCGATCCCAGGACCCTGAGATCATGACCTGAGCCGACAGCAGAGGCTTTAACCCACTGAGCCACCCGGATGCCCCTTGAATTTTCTTTATAAGTGGGCACGCAGATAATTAACTGAATTATATGAACATCCAAGAAATACCATTTTTGTTACACAGTTTCTTGTCTGAGTAATTACCATTTTCTCCTACTGAAAAATTAGTTCTTTAGTCTCTTGTGGGTAACATCTAATCTATTGTCTATTTAAGTTGTGGCTATCCAGCAAAATTATGTAGTCTGATCCCACTAATTCATTTATTTGTTTATAAAGTATTTTTACAGGGTTGCCTAAGTGGCTCATTTGGTTAAGTGTCTGCCTTCAGCTCAGGTCATGATCTCAGGGTCGTGGGATCCAGCCCCATGTCGGGCTCCAGTTCTGCACTCAGCAAGGAGCCTGCTTCCCCTCTCCCTTTGACCCTCCCCCCAGTTTGCCCCCCCAAATAAATAAAATCTTAAAAAAATACATTTTTTGAACATATGTTATATGGCACCTTATACTGGGATAAGGTGCCAAAGTTACAAAAATAAAAAAGACTCCAATCCTTGGTTGAAATGGGTGACCAACAAAAGAGAATCTTAAAGACGGTTCCGTGAATTTGGCCTTTTCATAGTTTATCTGCATGCCTTCTTACCCCTTATTTTTTTGTGTTTTGTTAGGACTTTTACAAGAAGAGGAGAAAATTATAACATTTGATAGCACATTAAATTTGGGCAGTAGGTGCTCTTGGCAGTAGGTGCTCTCAGTCGGTTAAGCATCCAACTCTTGATTGCAGCTTAGGTCATGATCTCAGGGTTGTGAGATCGAGCCCCCCACGTCAGTCTGCATGCTCACCGTGGAGTCTGCTTGAGATTCTCTGTCTCCCTCTACCCCTTCCCCTGTGCATGTGCTTGCACACTCACGCTCTAAAAAAAGAAATTTGGGGGCAGGGGAATGGTCAGTAAGTTTTGGTCAGCTGATCAGCACTGCAATAAACTGGGCCCTGTGCTTTATGGGCAGAACAGAATAAAATGGGTACCACTCTGTCCTTACTGAGCCCACAGTGGAGAAAAAAGCCCACAGGGCAAGTGCCATTATAGAGTCCTGTCATAGTTCAGAGCTACAGTTAGTAGGGACATTCAACAGATTCAGGGGTTTCAGGTCAGCTGTGCACCCATACCCGTGTGATGGAGACCCCCATCTCCTATGGCTCAGACATCTGCCTGTTGACTAGCAAAGTGGTAGGTAGCTGATTATCTGATCTTCTTTGACTACCCCATCTCCACTGAGTACCAGCAGTCTCAGCCCAGCTCCTCTGGACCTCAACTGGTGTATGTATATATATATGTGTGTGTGTGTGTGTGTGTGTGTGTGTGTGTGTGTTTGTGTGTGTTTTTGTGTGTGTGTGTGTGTGTGTGTGTGTGTGTGTGTGCGCGCACGCATGTGAGTCCATATCCCCTCCCCACCTGAGGTAATTTGGTCAGCTCTTCATGTTCCTATGTCAGGTCACCTGGTATTTGTGTTTTGAAAGTATTCCTATAGACAGGTTTCACTTTTAAGAATTTTTTAAGTAATCTCTACACCCAACATGGGACTCAAATCTAGAACTCCAGGATCGAGAGTCACATGCTCTACCCGCTGAGCCAGCCAGGTACCCCATAAAATTTAAGTCTTCATAGTGAATCACATAAGGAGACTTCTAAAGTATACTTGGTATGGATAGCTGATGATTCATTACCAAAATCCTACTTTAGACTACTAAAGGTAGTTGTCTACAAAGTATAAAACAACACGAGAAAGATTTTTAAGCAGAAAACATCCTGTTTATGTTTGGTCAGGTGTTCTTTGGGCTGATACGAACCAAATAGCATCTGATCATTTTTTTTAAACCTTTTTTAAAAGACTTCCCCAAAATCTTATTGCCCCAGATTTTACTCTTTTTGTGCATAGTGAATTCTGTGAGAGCAAAATTACAAGTCCATAATATCCTTTCTCTTCAATTTTTAAATCCAAAAAATTGCAGAAAATCAAAGATTCTTTTTGTAACTCATTTATTGAAAAAGCAGACCTGAACCAGAGTGACCCTATTTAAATTTTTTATCTGTCCTATTGGGACACTCAAAGTTTGCTGCAGAAATATTAATGTGTATGTATATGTATTAATATTAATTTATATGCACAGTATTACCTTTTTTTTAAGATCTTATTTATTTATTTACTTGTTTATTTATTTGAGGGAGAGGGTGAGAAAGAGCATGAGCGGGGGAAGGAGCAGGAGAGGGAGAAGCAGACTGTCTGTGAGGAACGAGCCCTACTTGAGGCTCAGGGCTTGATCCTGGAACTTCAGGATCATGACCTGAGTTGAAGCAGATGCATGCTTAACTGAGAGAGCCACCAGGCACCTCACAATACTACCTTTATAAAAAAAATAATGAATTCTAAACACATCTGTCTCTAAAGGCTTAAATAAGGATTATAGACAATGGGCGTATAAAGCACCCCCATGGCAGAGTAGTTTAAGAGGGTCACCTCTTGTTTGTAACTGTGTGAGGTAATGGATGTTAACCAAACTTACTGTGGTAATCATTTCACAGTATATACATATATTATTGTGTCATACACCTAAAACTAATACAGTGTTGTATGTCAATTATATATCAATAAAATCAGGAGGGCACTTTAATATTATAAGCAGTTTGTAGTTTTGATTAATTCATGTGAAGAAAACACAAGCAAAAATCAACCTTTAATTTTCAGGTAACTTTCACTTTGTTTCTAGATTTGATAGTTATGTAGTTGGGGTTAAATATAGGAAGGATGATTATGAATGTATGTATCTTGATTTCTTATACCCACAAAATGAAGGCTAAGATAAATACAATCAGGATAACCATAGACCATAACCTTGATTATATATACAAGAAAAAAAGAGCCTCTGAATTGGGGATTATATTGATATGCATGTATACAAAAAGTGATCAGTAGCAGTATCCTGGTACATTTTCAATGGGAGACATACCAAGAGCAGTTTTATTAGTTCTTCTTTCCTCCACATTGTAAGGGAATGTAAACTTACATACTGGTGATTTCAGAAGCAAGAATAAGATAATGTTTCCCACCTACTCATACCCCCTTAGTACCATTCAAGTGAAACTATTGAACTCTAATTGTGTTGGGAAAGAATTGATCTATTTTCTGTATGATCACAAAGAAACATTTTATTTATTATAATAAGATTTTTTTCTGAAAATTAGTATTTTCAAGCTTAATGCAGTGATTATGTTTTTATTTGGAATCTTCCCCTCCTTTTTTCCTTGTTCTGTACAGATTATCAACGCTTGATGACTGTGGCGGAAGGCATCACCACACTTTTGTTCCCATTTCAGTGGCAGCATGTTTATGTGCCCATCCTCCCTGCTTCTCTGCTACATTTTCTTGATGCTCCTGTCCCTTATCTGATGGGCCTTCAGTCAAAAGAAGGAACTGACCGTTCTAAACTAGAACTTCCTCAAGAGGTAAAACTTATAATGAGTGAAAAAGCATTTGCTATTTGTTGATTCAGGTCAAGGCCACTTTATTGTTAGACAGCATTGTCTTTGTCTAAACTGTGTCTCTGACCGTCCTGAATCTTGGAAGTAGAGCTAGGGTAGAGCCTGAGCCATAGAGCACAAATCCTGACGTCTGAGGGTTACCATGACTAGTTATTAATTCAGCATGGTTCAAACAGGACAGTAGCAAATGTTCACAGCTATAAATTTGTGAAGATGGAACAAAAGTAACATGATCTAGTTACTTCATTATTCTAATAACATTTAATTTCTTTTCCCCATTCATGTTATAAATTCCCTTTTAAACAATATAGCCCAGGTTTTCACATGATTAAAATCTTTAAAGTCATTGTATTAATTGAGATGAATTTGATTCTTGACTTCCATCAAAGAAAAGTAACATCTCTCAGCAAGCTGTGGATAATGAAGATATCAAATACTTCTGCATTTTTTGTTTTCAGACCTCAAGCTAGTTACCAACTTTTTCTAAATGTCAGCTTGACTAGGTGATTGAGATAAAAATTCTAACCTCTAGCTTTAAGACCTCCTTAAGGTTACTATGCTTTCTGTGGGTTGTATTTTCAGATGTTGTTTAAGAAGAATATAGGAATTCTTGGAAACATTTTGAATCTTGTTTTTGACTGTCCTTAATGGTACTCAGAATTGGAATGTAAAACCTTTGAAATGAAGTATTGGGGCGCCTGGGTGGCTTAGTTGGTTAAGCATCTGCCTTCTGCTCAGGTCACGATCCCAGGGTGTCAGACTCCTTGTTCAGCGGGATGCCTGCTTCTCTGTCTCCCTCTGCCTGCTACTCCCCCTGTTTGTGCTCTCTGTCAAATAAATAAATAAAATGTTTAAAAAAATAATAAATACGATGAGAGTGGCATGACCTATTACAAAACATTAAGTAGTTAACTACTTTATATTATTAGCTCTTTAATTAGCACCTTTCTTTTTTTTTTTTTTAAACATTTTATTTATTTATTTGAGAGAAGAGAGAGACAGTGAGAGAGAGCATGGCAAGGAGAAGGTCAGAGGGAGAAGCAGACTCCCCATGGAGCTGGGAGCCCGATGTGGGACTCGATCCCAGGACTCCAGGATCATGACCTGAGCCGAAGGCAGTCGCTTAACCAACTGAGCCACCCAGGCGCCCTAATTAGCACCTTTCTTAATAAAATCTTTCATGCTGTGCTTTGCTTTTATTTGTTCTTATTTCCCGTAGAAGTTCTCATTTTAATAAGTGAATTTAAAATAACACACTAAACCACAGCCATTATACCTGACAATGATTCCTGTAATCATTCATTGCTTACTTTGTTCCAGTGAATGTTTCCCTACCAAAATTAACATTTTTGTTCAGGGGAAAATAGCTTGATTCAGATCATATAAAATACATATGTAGTCTGTCTTGTTCTTTTTGAGCTTATGCATGTTCTCTGCTTTTGCCTCCCCATTATATCTCTTTTCTCTGTTACCTGAACTCTCTTGTTTTCTCTTTAATCTAAGTATCTTGTTGGTTCAAAGAAGTAATCCTTTAAATTTTCAAGGAAAAAGAAATAAAATAGCTATATCTATATATATAGATAGATAGATTTTTTTTTTTAGCTATATCTATTTTAAATGCAATTTAAGTTTAAGGACTTAAATAGTGATGTATTTTAGATTACTGTTGAGTATCTGGTCTATTTATATATTAACCAAATGATATTTTTATAAGATAATATGTTTAGGTGTACAAATATTCTTTCCATTTTCATAAGAGTTCTTTTTTTTTTTTTAAGATTTTTTATTTATTTATTTGACAGACAGAGATCACAAGTAGGCAGAGAGATAGGCAGAGAGAGAGGAGGAAGCAGGTCCCCACCGAGCAGAGAGCCCAATGCGGGGCTTGATGCAGGGCTCGATCCCAGGACACTGGGATCATGACCTGAGCCAAAGGCAGAGGCTTTAACCCATTGAGCCACCCAGGTGCCCCTCATATGAGTTCTAATTGTTGAGAGTTTTTAAATGCCCGCTTGATATTTTTGTAGTTGGGAAGTCTTTTTCTCTCCATATCTGCATGTATTCTCTGACTTTCTAAAGATAAACTTAAAAATTCTGAATGCTCTTATAGCAATGTCTGTGATTTTCTAATTTTTTACTCATTAAATCACACTCTTTAATAAATGTACATGCCCATCTATTTGGAGAGTAGAATAACAGGAAATAACCTGGGTCAGCTATGAAAAAGCAGTGCTTCTGTATATATGTTAGCACATCATTATTTTAGAAGGAAATGCTAACAGCTGACTCTCTGAATAGATGAGCATGTACATTTATTGAAGTGTTGGTTTAATGAGTAAAAAATTAGAAAATCACAGACATTGCTGCAAGAGCATTCAGAATTTTTAAGTTTGTTTATCGTTAGAATGTACACATACCACTTTGTGCTTGTAACATTTTACAATGAGATGAAGTAATCTACTTCACATAATTTTGGAGAAGAAGTAAGTATAAAAATAGCCATTTAAAAAAGTGATTTAAATATACTCACTCATAATATTCACCTCCTCTCTCCTTTCCCTGAAAACTGTAAAATAAAATAATAAGTAAAAATAGTGACAGGCCAAAAAAGAAAAAAATAGTGACGGGGTTTCTTAGAATAGTTATGAAAATGATAAGTTTACAAAATGATTATTTTAAGAAGGCATGATTTTAGTTGCTAGATAACTAAGTACATAGACTTATAATTAACCACCCACTTACTTTCCCCATAGTTCTAAAATGATAGGCACAGGTAGTCATTTTTTATATTGTTTTTTGGGGGGTTGGGGTGGGGAGAGTGATGGTAAAAGATATAGTACTGTGGATGAATTGAGGAGAACTGTACCTCACTTTCTCCCATTCTTATCTTTATAGTAAATCGTGGGCAAAAAAATAAAAAAACTAGGGGCGCCTGAGTGGCTCAGTGGGATAAAGACTCTGCCTTCAGCTCAGGTCATGATCCCAGGGTCGTGGGGTCAAGCCCTGCATCAGGCTGTCTGCTTAGCAGGGAGTCTGCTTCCTCCTCTCTCTCTCTCTCTGCCTGCCTCTCTGCTTACTTGTGATCTGTGTCTGTCAAATAAATAAATAAAACCTTTAAAAAAAATAAAAAAACTAAATTAGAATGCTTTTCCACTTTTCTTTTTGTTGTATCTTACCCTGAGATTTTAGAGGACTATTTTATTTTATTTTATTTTATTTTATTTTATTTTATTTTATTGGAGAAGCATTCTTTATTTATTTTTTAAATTATTTTTTATTAATATATAATGTATTATTTGCCCCAGGGGTACAGGTCTGTGAATCATCAGGTTTACACATTTCACAGCACTCACTCTATCACATACCCTCCCCAATGTCCATAACCCAACCACCCTGGCCCTACCATCCCAACCCCCCAACAACCCTCAGTTTGTTTTGTGAGAATAAGAGTCTTTTATGTCTGTAGGAATATTTTACATATTCTCTTCCGCCTTACCCTTTGCCAGTTTAACTTCAGCCATTGAAAAACTATATCCCTTACTAAGCATGGAAAGAGCTGCCCTGGCCTCACATGCCTGGATACCTCCTCCTCCTCTGTACATTTTTGGGGTACCACAAAATGACCATCTCCTTGAGCCTTACTTATTCATTCACCATACAGTTGTCTCATATACTACCAGTGTAGGAGACATTAAATAAGATAAAATTTCTGCTTTCCAAAATAAGTCATTTATAAATATTAATAACAGATTAAAAGAGAAAATAAGAGGAATGAATGAACTAAATATATATGCAGAGGAAATCAGAATGCCTTTAGGGTAGGGACATAGGAAAGCTTCATGGCAGAAGAAATGATTGAACTTCAAGTCTTTGTCGCCTTTCCATTAAGGAAATGTTTTTTTTTTCTTTTTTTTTTTTTTTTAAGATTTTTTTTTTTTTTTTTTTTTGACAGAGGGAGAGCACAAATGGGGGGAGCAGAGGCAGAGGGAGAAGAAGGCTTCCCCACTGAGCAAGAAGCCTGATGTGGGGCTCGATCTCAGGACCCTGAGCCAAAGGCAGCCACTTAACCATCTGAGCCACCCATGCACCCATGTTTTCCATTTTTAACTAGAAGTGATAACTTACCATGAATGTGTGAGCAGCATCGATCAGTTAAGATACAGAAATAGTCCTAAAACAATGTAAAACTGAGAGTCAAGTATATTTTTTATTGTGTATATAAAATTTCTTGAGCTCTTCTGATAATAATTTTTTAGTTTAATGGTATTAAAATTTAAAAAGTGACTTATCCAAATGCCCGATTGTATGGACTTCTTTGTTTTAGGAAAAAAGGCTTTTTGGGTTTTCTTCATAAAGTCTTCATAACACAAGTTAACCCTGTTTTCATTTTGTGATAATAAAGGCCCCAACAGGCCCATCTACGCAGTCATGGGGAGGTATCAGAGACTCACGGGAACATTGAAGCCAGGTCAGTAGTGTGGTGCTAGAACATCCACCTTGCTCTACTCTTTGAGCTCAGCAGTAATTGTATGAGCATAACACGCTTTAAAATTTCCCAGATGTAGTGTTTTTCATAGAAGAAGGATAGAAAAGGATAGCAGGAAGGCATTAATGAAGGTGACAGTACAAAATGTAAGTGGTGGGAGGTTGGTTGGCTAACATTTAGATTAGCAAGTTGGTGAATTTTTTTCTCCATTTTTAAAGATACTGAATCATCCATTTGAATTGTAGTGACCTACTTTCTCCCCTAAGCCTTTCAACACATCCTGCTTTCTAGAGACTAGAGATACGTATATAAAGATATGGATTTAAAGAAAGCTGTAGGCAGCAGTACTGTCTTCAGAAAGATTTGACTTCATCTCTTATTTTATTTAGAGGAAACTACTGCTCTTGGAGATGAAGAAAATGGGAGAAAAAAATCTTTTAAGCCACCAGGCTGTTTGAGGGTGCTTACCTGGAACAGGTGTCAGGAAATCACCTAACTTCTTGGGCCTCAGTTTCTTCATCTGCAGAATTAAAGAGTTGGATTCAGAAATCACTTCAGGCTTGAAAAGAAGCATTGTTGATTCTCTGTTTTTAGATGGGGGGAAATATGGAGTTTTGATTGAGCTAAATACAGAAATTTGTACTTTCTGTGCATTAGCATCTGACATAAAGAGCAGGGATCAAAAGAGAAAAATAAAAACCCAACAGTTTGCTCTCCTCTTTTCACCTTATGTTGCCACACAGGATCAAAGGGCAGTGTGAATTGTCTCCTGGCTGACCTGGGTGGCAGGGTTGTAGGAGAGAAGGGGAAACTCGAAGTGAAACTTCCTATTCTATTGGTTAACTTCCACCCTTTGCCCTGTGTCCAGCCACTAATGTAGTCAGGATCAATTTTATGTGATGGGCTATACCTTTGGCTTCCCATCCTCCCACAGTCCATGAGCACAGTCTTCCTTTACACTGACAGCCTTGTTCTGATTAAGAGAGTATGAACAGGAAAAGTAAAGTGTTGTTTTGGAGTCTACTATAATCACATACCTGAGGGATAATGAGAATTTCATACATGTACTTGGCTCCTTGAATTGTCCATTAACTACTTAGAAAATATTTAAAAGTCTTTTTATTCTATATAAATTCACAATCTATAGTGTAAGCAAACTCAAAAAAATTTTCCTCTGATTTCTATTTTGTCTTTTTTTCAACTCAAAAATATCTCCAGAATCAACTCTTAATTATTCAAGGAGTAATCATTTGTAATTGTGTAAGCACTTATCTCTCTCACTCTCTGCCTCCTGCTGTTTGTCTAATAACTTCTGAAATGGTTTTGCTAAGAGGTTGAAGCTAATTTTGGATAGGATGAAAATTTGTGGATATTCTGTGAATTGGATTGTTCTTTGCCAGTTTCATCCCATTTGAGGGGACTACAACTGCTAAAATTTAGAAATTATTGTTAATTCTAAATTAAAAATGGTGTCAGAGCAGTAGAATGGCATAGAAAGTTCCGACTGGATTCAGCCAGTGCTCATTTTACCCAGTGCCTTCTATTTCTAAGTTATTACAACTCTGTGCACCTTTACTCATTTAGGAATGCCAGAGAGATGGCATATATTACAGAATCATGTCCAGATGATAACACGTTGCTAAGACCCAGAGAAAATTATCCATTTTTATTAATTATGGTATGGAATACTCACATAGGGAAAAAATGGTGGAAAAAGAAATTTATTTTTAAAGAATAAAAATTCTTAACCTTCAGAAAGCTAACATAAAAGGCATTGTAAGGTCTTAAAAGTTCTTGTCATTAAAAAAAAATTGTAATTATGTGTGGTGGTGGATGTTAACTAGACTTACTGTGGTGATCATTTCATAATATATATTGAATCACATACCTGAAGCAAAATGTTATATATCAGTTATATCTCAATTTAAAAAAAGGTAACGTGCAATCTATGATTTTGTTTCTAATAGTTGGCAACAATATTTTAGGATATAAAAATGTTATTTTAAAACCTTTGTATTACTTTTTCTTTCAGGCTAATTTGTGTTTTGTGGATATTGACAACCATTTTATTGAACTGCCTGAAGAATTTCCACAATTCCCCAATAAGATGGATTTTATCCAGGAACTCTCTGAAGTGCTTCTTCAATTTGGGATCCCTCCTGAGGGTAGCCTCCATTGCAGTGAGAGTGCCACAAAACTGAAGAATCTGGTTCTGAAGGACTTGGTTAATGACAAGAAGAATGGTAACGTCTCCACTAACAACATCAGCATGTATGAGTTACTGAAGGGCAATGAAACCATAGCCCGCCTCCAAGCTCTGGCCAAGCGGACCGGTGTGACTGTGGAAAAAATGGACCTCTCTGCCACACTGAGTGAAAAAGAAAAGGATTTAAAACTGCAGTGTGAAGAGGCAGAACTAAGGGACTACCAGCTCAACGTGCAGCTCCGTGAGGTCTTTGCTAACCGCTTTACACAGATGTTTGCAGATTATGAAGCGTTTGTGATTCAGACTGCCCAGGACATGGAATCCTGGCTGACCAACCGAGAACAAATGCAGAACTTTGACAAAGTAAAAAAAAAAAAAAAACCACTTCCTTTCCCTTTTTATGGCTCTTAGTGGGCTGTCTTACTGGTTTTGTTCATTTTTTTAACCACAGATTTTTCCTCTCTCCCTTCCCATTAAGAACTTATTCTTATATTTTGTCTTTATCCTATGATGACATCTCAACTTCTCCATGTAAAGATAACACTTTAGTTTCAGAAGACAGTTTTACCTCATCTTAGGATCAAAAGAGAGAAAAAGTGAATGAATTAGGTTTTATGACTTTAAGATTCTGTTCCAAAGTTTGTGGGAAAGGGAGACAGAAAATGACACTGGCTTCCCATTGTCCTGCTGAAGTTGAAGCTTCTTTCTAAGGTTTACTATAGAGTCTTCTGGCGGATTCTCTGATCATATCCACCAGTTTTTTGGCTTTTGTTTTTGTTTTCCAGACAAAAGACTTAGAGGAGTGCATTAACTCTTCAGGTCAGGGTGTATTGCAGTCCTTTCCTCTGTGAGTGACAGGGCATCATCATACTGCTATTAAAATGCCTTACAGGTTTTTGCTGGATGGTAACTTTGTGTCATGAAAGACCTCTCAGAGGGGCTAATGTATTCTAAGAGGCTAATCTACAATTATGGAGTCTCTGACAAGTAAATATTCATAAACTTTTTTTGTAAAGGTGGGTAGTATCAAAGATTATTTTCTGATTGCATCAGACATTTTTTCAGTTGAAGTTTCTATATTCAAAGGAAGTTCTGATGCATTTTATATTTGAGAAAACTTCTTTAATTAAGAAGCCTTCACTTCTCCAAATGTATTCCCGCTTTTAGGTTTTCCTTTCTTATTAAGCTTAACCATTTTTTTCCTACCTTACTCAGAACTAATCTGTGTATACTCATGATTTATCCTTGGGGCAATTCAAATTCTTATCTAAATTGAGCGCTGGTACTCTCTTCCTTCTTAATCTTTATGTAGCTTCAGACTATAAATGGAATTCTTTTTATATAACTACTAGAGAAATGAAAATTTCATGTGGATTCCAGAAGGCTTGTAATCATTTCATTTTTCACTAGGAAAATGTACAGGACTATCACATACTAGTGAGCCTCCAAGCCAAGTCTTTGCTGACTGAAGTGTTGTAGTCCATGAGGGTCTGAATATCAAAAGTCAGATATTTGGCCCGTTTAAGGGGAGGGTGGAAGGTGGTTGCTCTAGAAAAAGTAAAATTGATATTTATCTATAAAATACCTTTTGAAGAGGCGAATTGATTTTTAGAGACTACTGTGAACCTTTAGCTGGCTATTTGGATTTATGTAAATACATCTGAACTGTGGAGACACTTAGATTAAATAAGTGGGTTTCTATAAGGAACTTTTTTAAAGGCTTCCTACGTTTTAGAATGAAAAATACATATGCTAGCCCAATGAGTATTAAGGAGACTAATCTTATGTCAGAACTTACCCTTCCATCTTTCGCCTTCTAGTTTCTACTACACTACACCTACTCAAAAGAGTGAAGAGCAGAATCAACCCACCAGCTGAAATAGTAATTTACTTCCAAATTTCAGCTAATATCAGACTGTGACTAGAATTCCTATAACACGTGGACCTGAAGAACCACAGAAAAACAAACACTTTGAACTAGGAACTGATCGCTATTTACTGAACCATTCCATGCACCCAACAGCTGGTAATAGAAACGTGCAGCTGGTTGTACATGTTTTCCAAAGGCTCAGCTTGCTCTGGATGGTTTTTCAGGCAATACCTTTTTTTCGTTGTTAAGGCCCAGACTCTTTAAACAGCACAGGTCTGGAAGGAGTTTGATCTTGAATTAGCCCTTATCCATCAGTCTCAAACAGTGTTGGGGACCTAGAAAAACATCTAATTGACAAAGATTTTATTCATAAGCACAAATTCCATGATTTTTGTAAGGTTATTGCTTATTTATCTCAGTTGTATCCATTGATCACATCAGTGCCTTATGACTCAAAGGTATATTGCATAGACTAGGAATAGAGAGCAGAAAAAAAAATCACAGCTCACTGGGAAAGGGGTCAAAATTCCTGGTAAGTGAAGAGGATGATTGATGATATTGCAGTAACTGATCCACCATCTTTCATTAGTGATACCCTCTTTTCTACCTAATGATCATGAGTACCAGAATGTAAATCAATTTTGAAAGAATCAAGCTAAAGGCCTAAGTAACCTAAATTCCATGAATTTAGAAGAAGGGATTTTTTTGAGATTTTTAAATATCTAGCATCAGTTTTGCATGTTACACAATTTTTTAAAAAATGACATCACCAGCAAATTTTCAGATTTATCACAAAGTACTAAGATAGCCACTTTGCACTAATAATTTCTAATTATCTCATTACAGGCTTCCTTTCTCTCTGACCAGCCTGAGCCTTACCTGCCATTTCTTTCACGCTTCATTGAAACACAGATGTTTGCCACCTTTATTGATAATAAAATTATGTCTCAGTGGGAAGAGAAGGATTCATTGCTTCGGGTCTTTGACTCTCGGATTGAGAAGATGAGACTGTATAATGTAAGGGCGCCCACCTTGAGGACATCTATTTATCAGAAATGCAGCACTTTAAAAGAAGCAGGTACATTTGTCATGCCTTTTAAAATTAAAATCCATGATTGTTTCTTTTTACACATTGTTAGCCTTATAAACCAAAAATTAATTTTCAGTTTTAGACTTCATGGCTAATCCTTTATACTGTATCAGGTGCTTTCTGTAGTTTTGTTTCCTTCTGTTTCTGTGAGTTAATATCCATTCCATTCCTATGTGACATTCCTCTGCTCTTAGAAGAGAAAAAACAGGGGTGCCTAGATGGCTTAGATAGGCATCCAACTCTTGATTTCAGCTAGGTCATGATCTTAGGTTCTTGAGATTGAACCTCGTGTCTGGCTCCGTGCTGGGTGTGGAGATTGTTTCTCTCAAGATTCTTTCTCTCTCCCTCTGCTCTTTACCCTCCAAAAAAGAAAAAGAAAGAAGGGGGGAGAAACAGTAACAAATTGAATGGAATATAACCATAAGGTTGCTGTGAATTTTGTCTTATTCTCTTTTATTGCCTTAATTGAAAAAATAAAAATTTTTCTTGCTGCTTATGTTGCCTTTTTACTTCTCACTTCTTTTCTCTTCATTAAAGGAAAGAAAAGTATTAATTTAAAGTAATAAATCTGAGACGTTGCCTAATTTACTTGACAGTATATTTGCTCTTTAGTGGTGCCATTAATTTTTAATAGTTCCACTTACTGAAATTAAATCTCTGGATTCCTGTATTCAAATTAGAGTTTTTCCAACTCTGACATAGTTTTTCCCTTAGAGGATCATGAGTCTTGACCAGTCTTGTCTGGCAGTAATATATATAGTTCATTAAATAAGTAATCATATTAATAGCCAGTATTTACCAAGTACTTACTATGTGCCAAACATCGTATCACATGTTTTACATGCATTTTGCATTTTATCTTAACAATGGGGGAGAATAGGCACATTTACTTCCTGTCTTATTTGTGTCCTCATTTTACAGTTGAGAAAGCTGAGAGGTTAGGTAACATGCTTATGATTGCATAGCTAGTGATTGATGGAGCATGATTTGAACTTAGATTTGACCAATTCTAGCGCCTAGAGCCTTAATACCACATTAAACATTAAATTAAATGTATTTAGTAAAGAAACATTTGAAGTAGGATGCCTGGGTTGCTCAGTCGGTTAAGTGTCTGCCTTTAGCTCAGATCATAATGCCAGGGTACTGGGATCGAGTCCCACATTGGGCTCCTTGCTCAGCGGGGAGCCTGCTTCTCCCTCTGTCTGCCGCTCCCCCTGCTTGTGCTCTCACAAGTAAGTAAATAAATAATATATTTTTTAAAAAATGTGAAGTGTACCAATCCACCCAATTTTATATGTTTATACCTTGTTCCTAACACTTTCTTTGCCAGAAAAACTGATACCCATCACCTGAGTGCCACCCCTTTTTTTTGTTTGTTTTCATTTTTTTCACCTTTCTAATACAGAAGCTATTTGAGCAAGTTTTCCTCTGGAGGAAAAAAGAGGCAGGAAAGAGTTTCTTGCTCTGTTTCCGTGCTTGCCTTTCTCACTTTATTTAAATAGATCGGTCACAGGAGTGGTGATGCTGTAGTTATAACATATTCAAGGAAAGAAATATGTAAATGATGTCTTTATATAGTCTTAAAAGGTCTCTTTGATAACTCACTGAAACATCATACTGTTGTATTCCCACATACAAGGGTAGATCTTGGAGCCCCTTCAGGAAGTGGCAGTTACCTCTGTGTTTCTGGAAAGTGAGGGAGTGGAATGAATGTAATTGTCTATGCCTATTCAGAGAATAGTATGACTTTCAGTGCTTTAATAGGCATGTGAATAAGATAATGCTTTGTTAAGAAAATTTCATTCCTCCCTTCCTGACAATTTTTTTAATGGAGCTAAGCACTGATTTCTTTATTTGTGTGCTTCCCGAAAATCTTTTCAGTTAAAATAGATTTTCTGTCAGCCTCTCAAAAAGTTTGACATTCCCACTGTCATCACAGAAATTATATAATACTCTTGAAAATATACCATTATAGATTTAACATATGAAAATGAGATTAAGCTAAAGCTTAGTCTCCCAGGAACCTAATTTATCAAAGACTTTTTTTTTTTTTTTTTAAGTAAAAGGCAGCTGGCTGTAACTGTGTCTATCCCCCATAAATGGTGGTTATTTCTTTCACTAGGTAACATTATCCTCTTCCCACCCACCCCCCCACAACAAAAACTATAGAGATTGGCATTTTGTTGTTTTGTATAGATTTTTATTGTTTTTTGTCCTTTGTTATTTTGCTTTTATTTTTGTTTTGCCTCTAACTAAAAAGAATTTTGATTTGCAGGTGAACTCTTTAGGCAGAGGCTATCTGCTGTTGATACTGTGGCACCAGAACATCATGATTTCTGTGCAGAAAGACAAGTTGATAGTAATGCAGAGTTTTTCTTTTTTTTCTTACCAATCACATAAAATGAGTATTGGCACAAACCCTTGAAAATCTAACAGACCCATGACCTCTCAAAGCAGGCATTTAATAATTTCTGAATGTTCAGTATTCACTGGTGGTATAATTACTGAAAAGTAACATTGCATTATGCTCCCTATGGCAATCTTCAGTATAAAACCCAGAGTAACTTATTGTGAATCATGCTTTTTGTTTTTAAAAAGCTTCCTGACTAAAGAAAAATAATTCAATATCAGATGGATTTCTCTGTCATTTTAAATCCAGCAGAAAAAACTGAAGCTACTTTTTTTCCCCCTTTCATAAAAACAGAAGCATTCATTGGCAGAGATGGAATTTTGTAGTATTTCATGGAACATAAAATTGGCAGGGACTTCAGACCATTCCGTGCCATGAATCTAAGCTTTATTTTGCCTGAACCATTTGTTAATTAAGTGTTTTATAAATATTAGGAAGCACGGAGACTATAGATAGGGTTGTGGAGAGCCAGAGGGCATCATTGAAAATTAAATACCATTTCACATTAAAACATGGCATTCTTTCACCCAACATAGACCATATGGACGATGTTTTAAGAGAAGTTGCAAGTTACACATTAAAAATAAAATGAAATTGAAGAAGTTTTTGAATAAATTCATGTGAATTATAAAGGAAAAAGTAGGGAAGTTTGAAGTAGGTATCTCATATTGTGAAGTTTAAGCCATGGAGGGTGATAGTGGCATCTGCAAAAACATCCCTTAATGCTGTCATCAAGCACAAGGAACTGGCTTAGGTGAAGCATGAATCTCACAGAAGATGGTATTAAGCATGTTCATTTGACAGGTGTGGAATATGTCATGGACAGACCCCTCTCCACTCAAAAAGAAAGTTTTTAAGACTATGTATAGGGAATAACCAGCAGCACTCAATCTGCTGATATTGAAGTGGGCAAAATAAACTGGTTCCATGAAATACTTATAAAAATACCTCTTTACTTCTTTTGAATCCCAAGATTAGCAGTTCCCAGAGTGTGCTGTTTATGACACCACGACAATTACTGCTTGTTCTCCCCTTTTAGTCATCTGTAGGCAAAGGATTAAAGGCCTAGTCTTGCTTCATAAATATATTTTCTCTTGAAAACTCAATTCATAAAAACATTTAAGATCAGATTTTTCTACTACAGAAATAGTTTGCTCTTTCTTGGGTCTTTGAGATATCCTCCTAACTTTAAATGGTTTAAAATAGAAATCTTAGTAATTCCTATCTTTTAATTTCAGCCTAATTTATTCTTCAAAAGTCAGTTTCTTATCCTCTGGACATTTTCTAAATGCCTGCTTATTTTATAGTTCTCTGCATTACCCCTCTTGATCTAATAAACACTCCTAAATGACTCCTACTAATGAGAATGTGACTGTTACTAAAAGTGAAGTAATAAACTTTACACCATTTCTTGTGTTTACAAATGGAGAACTATGGATATTTAATGGGTCTTTGTACAAAGAAGTAAAGTAACATAAGGCTACTGTGCTTGCTTTTCCTTCCCTTTCAGTTCAAGGCCAATGTTTTGTTTGCCATCATTTTCTTAAATGTACTTAGAACCGTATTTTCATTAAGAAAATATTTTTCTTAAATATTTACCATTGAAATATTGAAGTATTAAAATACTGAATATCCCACTTAAGGGAAACTTGTTTCAGTCTATAGATTTTTAACCCTGCTGCCCTGCTTTTGACAGAGGCAGCACGTACCATGAAAATTAGTCATCTAGTAGTCACTTAAAATTAGTCTTTTTATACTTAACATTACACTGATTTCTCAAGAGCTTTTATAAAAATCTATTTTAGAATGTCAGAAAGAATTAATTCCTTGGTGCATGACTGGAGGAAGCATTGTTTTAAGGTTTAGCCAATGAAATGCCTCTAATTTGTTATAAACTTAATTTATAGCCCAATCAATTGAGCAGCGACTAATGAAAATGGATCACACTGCAATCCACCCACATCTGCTTGATATGAAAATTGGTCAAGGCAAATATGAGCAAGGGTTCTTTCCAAAGTTACAGTCTGATGTCTTGGCAACAGGACCAACTAATAACAAGTAAGCAAGCACTTTCTTCACTTGAGCAGTGGGTTGAAGGGGTAAGTGAAGGGTTCAGTGCTGTGCAGCTGTAATGGCGCATTTTAATCATTAAATATCTTATCAGTCTGATCACTTTCTTCAAAGGCCAAATCAATTCATTCGGGATATGAGTATTTGACTTTTAATTCCATCATGTAAAAAATCCAAAGACAAGAGATTTTTTTCCTTTTTAATGTAATGTACACTTGGGGATAGTTTGACTTTAAATGACTATTTAAATATAATGCTAATATGGTCTAATGGAATTTTAAAAATTACATTTTCTCTGCCTGTATTAGTTTCCTAGGACTGCTATACAAAGTACTACAAATTTGGTGGCTTTTACAACAACAGAAATTTGGGGTGCCTGGGTGGCTCAGTGGGTTAAAGCCTCTGCCTTCGGCTCAGGTCATGATCCCAGGGTCCTGGGATCGAGCCCCGCATTGGGCCCTCTGCTCAGCAGGGAGCCTGCTTCCTCCTCTCTCTCTGCCTGCCTCTCTGCCTACTTGCGATCTCTGTCAAATAAATAAATAAAATCTTAAAAAAAAAAAAATTATTCTTTCACAATTTTGGAAGCTGGAATTCCAAAAATGAGATGTTGGCCAGGCCATTCTCCTTCCAGTACCTCTAAAGGAGGAGCCTTACTTGCTTCTTCAACTCGTGCTGGCCTCAGGGATTCCTTGACTTCTAGTAGTGCTAATTCCAGTCTCTGTCTCTGTCTTCATATCCCTCTATATCTGAGACCAAATTTCCTTTTTCTTACAATGATACCAGTCTTATTGGCTTAGGGCCCACCCTAGTGACCTCATCTTAACTTGATTACATGTGCAAAGACCCTGTTACCAAATAAGGTAACGTTCATAGGTATTGAGTTTAAGACTTCAACATATCATGGAGGGAAGAGTGTGTGAGGGGGGACACATTTCAACCCATAACACCACCTTTGTACTTTTAAGTATCAAGTTCAAAAATTACAAAACAATCAAAAATAAAGATAAATTCTATCATTCTTTATGGTAAATGATTCCATTCAGAAAATATCTGAATATGATTAGAATTGAAAAGAGTTCTTTGGGTTTAAGGGAATTCTTGATTTTGAGTGAATACAGTGTTTTATTAATGAGGAATAAAAGAGGATTTTACAAGAAAGGACACGAAGGTATTAAAGGGAAATACAGTTAAGTTGCAAAGAAAGAGCTTAGAATCGGAAATCAATAATTGTGGAATTTAGTTCATTCTTAACCGCTAACCAGGAACCTTGGACAGGTTGGAATCATTTGCCCCTTTCTCACCTGAAAATATTCTTTTAATATTCTACAACACCTGTCACCTTACAAAAGTGGCTCAGAGGTGGAAGGGAAAAAGCCAGGGTATGGCAAAGAAGACTGAGGTAAAAGACTGGGTACACAAGATGAAAGTGGCATTGAGGTACCTGAATTTTCAGAAAGTAACTAGAGAATCAGTGAGGGGAATAAAAAGGAGGTAGAATGATGTCTTGACCTAAAAGGCCTATACTAAATAAGTAATGGGAAGGTTCTCGAAAGATGGTTTAAAAGTATGAACTTCCTATTTTCTAGATGAACTGCTAAACTTGCAAATTTTTGGTACTTGCCTCTTTATTTCCTAAGGTGTTTGTCAGGTGTTTTCCTGTTAGTCAGGAAAAAGGAAAACATAGTAAATTATCTATATAATAAGTGATGGTAAGAGTTGGTTTAATTTGATAAACACTGTTCTGAGGTAGGTAGTGTGGTATTTGGAATTTCTTGGGGTACATGTATGTGTGGCAGTATTTGTGTATTCTTGTGTTTGTACTGCTAATACCCTATTTTTAATAACCTGAAAGGAATGAACCCCTTACCATTTTCCAGCTGAAGGTGATCCTTTAAGTGTTTCTTAAACGTGTTGGAATAATTGATTCGTTTAGTTCCAAATGTGAGAAAGCTATAGTGATACCAAACACATCAAAAGGAAGTGGTATGTATGGATTAAGGAAAACAGTTACAGTACCATTTACATTGCTGCTGCTTTTCCTTTCAGAATCTAATATTTATCATCATAAATATATACCCCTTAACAGATGTCAGTCAGAAAACTTAGAAATTGGGGCACCTGGGTGGCTCAGTCATTAAGCGTCTGCCTTCCGCTTAGGTCATGGTCTCAGCATTGTGGGATCAGAGCCCTGCATCCCGGCTCCCTGCTCAGCGGGAGGCCTGCTTCTCCCTCTCCCAACCCCCCTGCTTCTGTTCCCTCTCTCACTGTCTCTCTCTCTCTAATACATAAATATTATTTAAAAAAAAAAAAAACTTGAAAATTTTCATCAGTGGATCAAAGTAATTATTCTTCTTTCCTTTTTTCTGCTTCCAAATATACCTTTTCTGCCAATGGGGGCTTTTCCATGCCAAGAGGAGGGTGGTTATGGAGTTGATCTGCTGATAATAATAGCTAATATTAAGCTGGTTCTATACTAGCTTCTCTGCTGACTGCTCTGAGTACATTAGCTCCTTTTACAAACCTGTCCCTATATATAAAACCTATATTGTTTTACCCATTTTATAAATGAGGTTCAGAGAGATTCAGCAACTTGCTCCAAGATCACTAAAATAGCTAGGAAGTGTTGAAACTAAGATTTGAACCTAAGTCTGCTGATTCGGGGGCTCAAGCTCTTAAGTGTTAAACAATGTATACATACTGTCTGGCTCAGTTACTTCAAAAAGGGTGACAGATGCCTTTTGTTACTTTTGGAGTTGGAAGCTGTGTTTTGGTAGCCCCCAAGAAATTTTGAATGACCTAAAATAATTGAACATAAATGTGTACTATGGGAAAGAGAGGTAAGTACCAAAAATTTTATAATACATAGTTTCACAAGTGATCTGAAAGAAACATCATATATTTAAGCCACCTTTCAAGAACCATATTATGACTTGTTTAGTTTGGGCCATTTAGGTCAAAAGGCATAATTCTAATTCTTTTTTATTGCCTTCATTGATCTCTTAAGTGCTTTCTGAAAATTCAGGGCTCAATGCCACTTCCATTCTGTGTATTCAATGTAACAAGATCTTCCACAATGAAAGAGCCCTCACATATCTCACTTTCTGCCTTAAACTGGACTCTCTTAAAAGGGTTGGTCCCCAAGAAGATAGAACAATTCTCTGAGAAGCAAGAGATTTGTAGGCACCATCTTCCCCAGTGAAGAACTACATGAAGCAGTGGTTGAGGTCAAATAGCCTAACCCTGAAGACAGTGGCATTATTATGTGTTGGTAGGAGTCTGAGCCTGGGTTACTGGCAAAGGTAGCAGTGGAACTCAGGTCTCCTTACTCCAGGTACCGTGTTCATGATTTCTCATTCATAAACCCCAGAGGTCTGGAAAATTTTCAGTCAGTATCCGTTTACATATTTGGAAAAGGAGTGCTATGAATTACATCAGTAGAGCTTACAACTCTTGAAGAGATGTTGAACATTATGGGGTTCAAACTTTCCAGGTGATGGTACTGGATATAATGTTGTTTTTCAAAAATGAGAATTTTCCATCAGAATAGACTAATCATCAGTTCACTTATTTTTCCTGAGTTTGTAAAATACCCTAAATGTTTGAATTATTTCATATTAGTATTTAAGTAGTTTTTATTTTCTTTTAATAGCATTAGATTACTCATTTGTTCATTTGACAAAAATTTATGGAACCCTGACTGTATGTGAGGCAGTGTCCTATTCAGTGGGAGTTTAGCAATGAACAAAACAACAAAAATCCCTGCTTTTAAGGAGGAGGAAACAAACTTAATATGTAAAATAAATAACTTAATAATGATAAGATTAGTGAAGAAGAATGCAGAAAACGGAAGTAAGGAGCATTAAGGAGGGAAGATTTCAACTTTAAATTTTACTGCCTTGTTTTCTTGCTTTTAATCTTGTATATAACCTCAAGGTCTCTCATTTCTAGACTGAAACCCAAGTATTACATTTTCAGGTAGATTTTAGTCTGAAAGAAAAAAAATCTAAGAACTCATTGCACAATAAGGAGATGTATAACCATGCTTCTGCAAATGGCTGATCAACTGTTAGAATTTCATATGCTGCTTACAAAGCCAAAGCAAATAAGCAGTCATTTGTAGTTTAGCAAATGTGATCATCTTTGATAAAAATAGAGATTTTGATAAAAATGAGATTTAATAATGAAAAGAAAAAAGTAATTCCTTAACAAGACCAGGAATGTGTAGACTTCACAGTAACTTTCTTTTTTTTTTTAATTCTTTTTTATTCATAGTAATTATCTTAAGCAGATGATCATATCCCTGTTTTGAAAATAAAATAGGGCATTTTGTCCCACAGCATGTATAGTGAGATGCTAAGTGTATCATGTAAGTTAGTATTTATCCTTTCCTTTACCTAAAGCCTTTTCCACTTTTGCCTGCCAAGGGAATTGTTCTGCCATTTGTATTCTACTCCTTTAATTTATTCATTATATAAGTATTTCCTGTTTTTACTGTTTATTTGAACTACCCTGTCCAGTAACCCTAATTTACTATCTCTCACTGACCTTTTTTGCTACATAGCTATTTCTAAGGCCTCCAGGTCTTTGTACATTTTATTTGTTACTTATATTTCCCCTTTGTTTATTATATGAATTTATCAGCTGGTATTTATAATCTGCTTCAAAGTTGTTTAAAAAAGAATTCATAAAAAAAGTTAAAAAAAAAAGAATTCATGACACTGTTGAAGATGGTAAGACAGACTTCATTCAAGGGGGGCCATGTAGGGACCATTGCAGTGGGAGAAAGATTGAACTCTATTCCATATACAATGTGGATAAGTAGCAATTTATAATCAAGTAGCAGAGTAGAGAGAAAATTACTATGAGGAAACATCAGAGTTAAGGGGGAGGATTTTGACCAAACCAACCTAATAAGATTCTTGCTGAAGATAGGCCTGGGTGATAAAGGGTGATAGATGATGTAGAAGCTGATTAGATATGAAGAACGATCATATGTGGAGGTTGGTGGGGCTGGGTGAGGGGGTGGTTCCCCCTGAACTGACTTAGCAAGGTTCTTGTTCAAACTGGATTTTATAAGGAAGTGCACAGATGGACCTGGGAGAAGGTTCAGGAGCCTAACTAGAATTCGATCAAGCAAAGAATCTCTGCCAGTGTCCTAATAGGCTTTTTTCTGGATCTTCTTTCTCAGTCACTCTAGTTTTCTTTGTATCTATTTTACAGTCTTACTTTGATCCTTTACTGTTGGGACAGTTCCAGGGATTCTGTTTCAAAGATCTATCACTAGGACTTTGTACTTTTTGTCCCAATATAAGCCTATTTTTCTTAACTATTTTAAGAGGGACTACCTTTCTTGCTATTATTTTTATCATAATTATTCAATGTTCCTCTAAGTAGCAGACTGAAATGAGATGATTCAGAAACTTGAAACCAAAGGCATGCATAAATTATTTTAAGCAACAAAAGAACCCACATTCTCATTTCAAGCTTTTTGTAAATTACTTACTTTATTAAATAAAAAATTAAAAATAATGAACTGGCAGTAATACAGTATGACTTTTTCTGAGTGGCAAAAGCATAAATTCATTTTTTAAGTTGTATATAGCTCTGTGCTGGCAAGGATGTATTCAAGAATGGATATTCTTAGAAAAGTGTGATGAATACATAGTCATGGGGATAATAAGTCAAGATTTGAAAATTTTTTTGAAATAATTTGATATAAAATAATATATGCTCATTAGAAAATTTTGAATATTTGAAAGTGTTAGGATAGATTTTAAAACACTCATAATACCATCACCATGAGATGCTAACATTTGCTGTTAGACCTTCCATTGCATGGTTCCTAGTGTTCATGTCCACACTTTTTTTAAACAAAATTAATATGTTATTTATACAGCATTTATCTTGTTTTCTCATTCATTAGTGTACCATGAATGTTCTCCCAAATTAATATTCCTAGCAACTTAATTTTTTTAATGACTGTGTGATATTTCATAATGTAGAGTGCACTCTCCACTCTTGAACATTTAGGTTGTTTTGAGCACATTTACTTGATTCTGAGTAACTATTGTGTTAGGGTCCGTAATCAAAGGAGCAAGACTGATACAAAGCGAAGGTCAAGCAAAGCTTTATTTCACGCCAAGCATTGAGAATTATACTGACCGGTCAGGGCCGTCTCTTGCAAAGAGGCGACCCCTCCCAGCCTCACAGACTAACTTTTATAGAGGTAGTTTAGCCGGGCTATACACAGGTGGCCAATGAGATTGCAATACACAGAGAAAACTGCACAGTCATGCTAAGTGTGCCACACACAGAAAAAAAAAACTGCTAGGTAACACACGGGTGGCCAATTGAATTTCAATTCGCCCTAGTGGATATACGCACGCCCCACTGATTGGATGTCTTCCACCCCCCACCCTTGTATCTAGGCTTTGCAAGCAAATTCCTCTGGGAGGGGCAGGGTCAATACAAGTTCACCGCAACAAAATGGCTCCCTCTGGCCAACCAGGCCCTTACATATTGGTTGTGAGATCTTCTGCTAACTCAAAAGCTTTTTGGAAATATTATACTTTAAACATGCATATGGAATAGAGACACATCCTAATATCAGGAACATTTCGAAGCCAAAATGTGAGTCTTGGAATAAAGGAAACACAATTTGTTATTACATACATGCTGTGAGGAATGTTCATAAACGTAAATCTTGGGCTGCATCTCTGATTATTTATTTGGAGTATATTTATAAAAGGGCCAGGTCATGTACAAACAGCCAGTAAAACAGCTTACAGGGGCTCCTGGGTGGCTCAGTCAGTTAAGCATCCAACTGTTGGTTTTGGCTCAGATCTTGATCTCAGGGTCCTGAGATTGAGCCCCACAATGGGCTCCTTACTCAGCACAAAGTCAGCTTGAAATTCTCTCTTTCCCTCTGCCCATCCCGCTCGTGCTCTCTCCCTCTCCCTCTCTCTAAAGTAAATAAATAAATAAATCTTTAAAAAAAAAAAAAAAACAGCTGACAGACAAGATACCAGCCCTTCAAGAGTTTATAGTAGAATTTTGTAGAAAATAGAGATAAGTGCTTATAATACACTGTGACGGGTAATAAAATTGAGGAGTTTAAGAGGGATAGACAGTTTAGATTTGGAGGAATCGATGAGCACTTTCTGTGTGGCATTGAAGCTATCTGAAAGACGAATAGAAGTCAGGGGGAAACTTCATGAAGTTTCAGAAAAACTAAAGATCCAAAGGTAAATAAGTGGAGGCCTTACATGTCATATTTTCAAGAATTTTTTCATAAGAAGAGTGAAGAAAGAAACTTAGTGATTAAACTGTAGAGGGTCGTAGAGAGACCAGCGTGCTTGTAAGCTGAAGGGAAATACTCCGTTGAGAGAGAAAAACTGGAGATACAGAAGAAGAGATTACTTAGTGCAGCAGGTTGAAGAAGTCAAGAGAGAATTGGTCAGGGAGTTTCTTCTAGGTGACAGAATTAGTTTTGAGCCATAGCTGATATATTTTATACTTTGGGATTAAAAGAAAGATGAGGGGTCTGTGTGTACATCATGTCAGTAGAGGGCAGGAAGAAGGAGTCAAGGGTAGGTTATCAGTTGAGGGGAGGCACTTGAGGATAAAGCAGAAGGTTTGAAATTGTTTTTGAGGGGAGTGGGAGAGAGTTGAAGGGCAGGTAAAGTGATTCATGAGGAGTCATGACAGAAATCAAGAACTAATCCACATAAATAGAACAGAGAAGTAAGAGGATAGTATTCACCCAGGATTTGGGGCTCTGTTGGACGGACAGTAAAGTGGGAAGGAGAGGAGGAGATAGTGTGTATTTTTTTTTAACCTCAGTTTTTAAAAAGTATTGATTGTAGTGATGGTTGCATGTCTCGGAATATAATAAAAACCACTAAATTATATGCTTTAAATGGGTGAACTATATGGTATTCAATTGTATCACAATAAACCTTTCTGTATTTAAAGAATTGATTGAAAAATAAGTAGTCTTTTATCTTAAAGAGTACATTTTTTCTATTTTAAAAATAAGTTACCACATTTTTGTATGTTTATTTCAGTTTTTATTTTAACCTGTACCTTCTTGGGTGTGGCTCTTTTTCTAGTCGCTGGGTAAGTCGGAGTGCCACTGCACAGCGCAGGAAAGACCGCCTTCGCCAACACTCAGAGCACATTGGATTGGACAATGACCTGCGGGAGGTATGTGGGCTGCCTTCCCAGGATGCCTTATTCAGTCCAACAGTTGTCGCTGTGCAGGTTCTTCCGCATTCTTTTGCAAAATGGCTCAGTTTTATTTTAATATAGTGATCCTTTTGTACTGACATACAGCAGAAGACACCTCTTTTTTCCCCATTTTTGTAATTTTAATACACCTAAAAGCAGGCTTTAAAACAAATCTCCCTATATACCACAGCAAGTAAAAGCTAAGTTTAAGAGAAATTTTTGGTCAGTATGTCTCCTCTAGAGAAAAAAATATACAAGAAACAGATTTTTTTTAAGTTTCAAGCATAATTGAAACTTAGTATAATTAAAGATGTATTTGTGCTTTATCCTTGGCTTGCTGACACCATTTTTTAAAGTGTTTAGAAATTATTTTTGAACTAAGATCCTTATGCTTTATTTGTACTACTTGAAAATAAAACCATAATTATACATTTGAATAATTTTAAGTACGTTTTGACTATTGTGATCAAAGAAAAATGCAATCAGAAGATCTGTTAACTATTTTCTAAACTCAGGTGTGTAGAAATAAAGCAGAAAACATCATCCCAAATATATATTGCTTTTTTGCTGAAATGTTCATACATTTATGATTTTAAACATTTTCTTAAAAACCGAAGGATAATTAGTCTAGTGCTTTTCTTTGTGCTACCATATTTTTTTCTCTCCCCTTTGCTGTGACTTTTTCATATGCATGCATGTTTTGCTTGTCTCTTTCTCTCTATCCTTTTCTTTTTTGCTTTTCTGTCATTGGCACTTCTCCATCCTCTTAGCCTTCCGGGGAACTTTTGGTCTATCAGAACTCCATGGCATTCTGGGAGTGGGATCAGGGTCCACCTCCTCCTGCACGACTTCCTAAAAAATCCTTCTCTGAGTGCTGCCTGGTATGTTCTTTGCTTGAAAGTGCTTTACAGATGTTCCTGAATCTTGTCTTTGGTGTTCCTTGAGTTATCCACATGCGTGTGTGCACGTAGCTGTAGAATGCCTCACTTCACCTTGTGGCGTGAACTCTCAGCCTCTCCATTTTGCTCTCTACTTCCTCTTGTGTTTGTTACCTGTTCCTGGTGGTGTGTGCTAACAGAACTACTTTCAAACTGTTGGCAGGTAAAACTGATCACTTGAATTCCTAACTAGTGGTATTTTGAAAAGGGGGCGGTGTAGAGGGGCCAGAGATGCAGCACATTGTTGTTCTTCCAAAGGAAAAATATATTAAATGATCAGACTCCCTTTTATTTAACCATTTTGCAGAAATAAATAATTCATTTGAACAGCTTTTCTTTTCTTGCTGGGTTTTATCTCCATGTCTTAATAAACCCTTCCTGATCTGTTCTTTGGGGGTTTTTTTGTTGTTGTTTTGGGGGTTTTTTATTGTTTTTGGTTTGAAATTTATTTCCTTTGTTCATGGTCTGTATTTTATGTGGTCAGAAAATTAGGTCATCAGTATAGGCTCTTAGTTCTAAGAGAAACCTTTGCGGTCATCTTGTCTAACATGACATGAAGTCCGAGACACTTGCCCAAAGTCAAATGGACACACAAAGGCAGAGCTGGGCCTATAGCCCAGGACTGCTGATAGCCAGAATGGTACTCTTCCCAGTACCTGTGTATACCAGATTACACACAACAGCTACTCACCTGAGGGCAAGGGTAACTTAAGACTCCTGGTTTGTTGTTTTTGGCTTTAACAGAAATGAAAAAGAGCACGGTAGAAATCTCAGAAATCTGGGGTCACTTCCTTCTAGTAGTGAAATGGACTTTCTTACAAAAACATTCCCTGTGAAAGGTTTCTCTTTCTTCTCCATTTTTCACCTTAAAATACACCTTTTCCTCCAGCTGCCCCAAAGAAAATACCTTTTTATCATCACTTGTTTACTGTAAAGGCAAGTGTTCTATTTTTGCAATATACAGAGGCAACATCACTTCTTAATGTGAGGAAGGGGCTCATATCCTTTGTGTGTATGTGCAAAGAATGTTGCTCATTCCATGGCTTCAGCAGAGCTGCTCTAAGGAGGAGACATGGCCCTATGGAGTTCGCTGTTGGCTAATAATTATATGTGATCTGCTATGTGCTTAGTAAATATGGCCAGTCAGAGGATAGCCCTATTCTGGCTTGTTTTCATTTATAAAATAGAACCATAAACTTTAACAGTGCTTAAATTACTTATCTAGTTACGGACTTAAACATCTAATTATTCATATATTTCAGAAAAAAGAGAAATACCAACACCTGTTCCTAGCCTCTTGCCTGTGTTTCTTACTCTTCTTCTAGCCAGTGTGTTTCTTCCTCAGCTAAATTGGATCCTTACCTCTTCTTGAGATCTGAGTCCTAGTAGTTCTCTTTGCCTTTGCACAAGTCCAAAGGTTGAGGAACTAAGGCAGGGGAGAAATAACCCCTTCAACATTTGAAAGTTAACATTTGTTTTTAATATTTGTACCACCTTAAATGTTAGGAAATGTAGGTGTTACAGTTCTCAAATAGGATCTCTGCCTCATATCTCAGGTTGGTTTTTCTGAAACTTTTCATTCCTTGCTTTTTATTTTTTCGAAAACTAACTTTCAGGATGTTTTGATAGACCTTATGTAATAAGGTAATAAACTTAATTTCCCCAGGGTGATAGTTGTCTTTCATTCTCAATTTTCCCTGTTTATTGGACCCTCTAAAAGAGATTTAAGCAGAAAGATGTATACACAAATATTATGGAAACTAAATTCTTAAAGCTTTCCTTTTTTAAAAATCTGTCCTTAAAATGATTGCATTGGAAAGGAAACAGATTATTTTGTTTATGTAGTAGCAGGTAAACTGATCAGTTGAATCCCTAATCAGTGGGATTTTTTAGAAATTTATACAAGATTTAGTAGATTATTTTTCTTCCAAAGAGGAAATATTGTAAATGCACAAACTCCCTTTTATATAAAGAATGTAAAGGATTTTACACATTTTCCCTTGTAATATCAAATTCTTCCCTTAAGATAGTAAAGATAGATTTCACATATGTGCCTGTGGGAGGATGTGCTGGCTCACAATCTCTCTCTCCCCTCAACAAACTGCTAGTTTTACTATATAACTTAGAGTAGTTATTCTCTAACTATGGCCCTAAGACACTTGGGCTTCTTGGAGATTCTGCCCTGTGGTCCTGATGCAAACATAAAGCATCTGGATGAGCATTGCAGGTAGCACAGAAAGAAGAGATATAACAGATGTCCTGTGGTAATCACCTGTAGTGATTTTTTTTTCCTGGACATTCACTAACTAAAGCTCAAGAGCAGTGGGTTTCTGAGTTTCTGGGTTTCTCTCTGAGCCATCACTATCTCTGAGAGTAATATAATGTCCCCACTTTCTCTCGATTGTGGAACAAGGCAAGGGAGGGAATGTAGCAAACATGTTCAGAGTGAGTTCATAGTCTTTCTTGTGAGGTAGGGGGGCGTGTTTTATGCCCATTTTACAAATAAACAAATGTGCCTGAGTTTATAAAATTAGTTGCATCCAGATTCTAGAGCTCCTGATTTTACTGTTGTGACTTGACTAGAGCAGAGGGTTGGTTCAGAGAGTGTTGTCTAAGAGGCTAGAAGTATGCTAAGTGTCTTTATCTGTGGGGAGAGGAGGAAATCACTGATCTGAGAATCACTGGGTTCTTGAAGAAACTTTGGTAATCCAGAAACCTAAATTTTTTTCATCCCTATTATGATCCTGACTAATCACAGCCTTGGGTACTCCCAATAAAATTATTAAACTAGGTGAGCTCTATCTTGTTATGAATGTTTTAACCTGACACGATTTCTGTTGTCCTCATTTTCACAGGAGTTAACAATG